TTCAATAAACCATAGCAAATTGAACATGTTATTATCGTAACACATAACGGTCTTAAAATATAACTTCAATTAATGGAAAATCCTTATGGGCATTCTTTGATAAAACGACCGCTGCACGTTGGCTGAGTCTAACGGGATAACGTCCGACAAACATTTGTTGAGAGGTCCGTCGTGATGGAGACGCCACTCCTAGTCAACTGCTATATACACACATGAGCTTGTGCATCTTTCTCCGCGCGCGTATCTCCTTTTTTTTCCCCTATCTCCTTATATATTCCCTTTAAAAATATTCTCCACATATATCCATAATACATGGCTCTTAAAGATTTTTTTTATTTTTCTTTCATAATATAAAAAAAATAAAATTTTAAATTTACAAAAATATCACAAGTATACGAACGTTTCAAAATACCCTATTTCAGTATGTAGAATTTTTAAGTTTTTTAATTGACAACGGCTTTATTATGAAAATATATTTTTCGATATATTTCGGCCTATTTTATTAGTTATTTTAATTGTCTCTCCAGAAAATTAAAACGTTATAATTTGTCTTTTTTTATGGTATGCAAAGTATATTGATGGTGACTCGTGTACACGTTTTTGCTATAATCGGTTGTCGCTAATATATCGATTCGCGGCAACGATCGTAATTGAAATGACATGAAACACTGACCGATTAACTCTGTTTTACGAGCGGGCATTACTTGAGACGCATTATTGGCAATTGGTGTCGTCAGTTGATTATGTTATAATTGCGGCGATCATCAACGGGTTCCTGATATTATTTGATAACGCGCGTTACGATTGTGCATTGACTTTCGTCCCTTTGTATATTAGTTATGACGCGTACTTGTACAATCCGCACCAGATTGCTTCAGGAATCGCAAACAAATCGAGAATCACGCCCGCTCAGAGAGAGAAACGTACGTCCACGTTATAATCGAAACGGTTATAACTGTATTCTAGGTGTGTCGCGCCGGATGTATTTTCATACCCGATTGCATGATGGACGATATGTATGTTCACACACCGATCAGTTGCCGATTATGTGTGCGAACGGCGATGCAGAAAACCGCGCATACACGGCGGAAATAAAAGACGTGTCGACGTGATTGGTTTTGCACATTGCTGTAGTTGGTTTGTTTCATTCATAGACACCAAAATCTGTTTACACATCAGACACACACTTATGCAATTTATTCTATCTTTTGATCTATATATCTTAAAAGCGTGTGTAATCATTAATTCATAAAATCATGTTTGTTTTATAGCTGATTGAGTGCACTTAAATATTTTTTTTAAAGGTAAAAATTATTCTATGTAAGTAAATTTTATATTATAATTAAAAATTCTATGCTCATAATTAAATTCTATATTATAATTTTTATGAGAAAGAACATATTTATTATATTTATTATGCATTTTTTATTGAATACATATTGGATATGTTCTTTTCTTGTATTTTGTAATTTAAAAAGTAGAATAATATTATGTATTATATAGGCTATACGTAGGTTATCATAAAATCCTCACTTTTTTTTCGAAATACTGTTTTTCTTTTTAAATTTTTGAACGATGAGATTTTGTAACATAATTTGTTCTTCAGAAATGCATAGAGTTTAACATATTGTCACATTCAAGTTACTCAACTAACATATACATATGTATCGACAATATAAATTTTTGTGCGGTCCACTTTGAATCGCGCCAGACATATCGATCTTTTTGACGCTCTAACGGTATCTCCCTATCTAGACCGCTATCGCAGTTACAGATAGTATTTAAGACATTTATTTTCAAATAAAAGGTATATAATATCTTTGAAAGATTTATAATACGTATGTATTATGTATTATTTATGTATATTCTTTTTGACGTAAAGAATCGTAATAATATATGCTTACACAATTGCTTTGCAAACAAAAATAAGAATATTACAGCATAGAAAGTATTATATACAGTTAACAACTAAGTACTTATATAAGAATTTTAGCACTATTAACTAATTTTGAACAAATTTCTTATCTACAGCGCAAAGATCGTGATCAGCATTTAGAACGAATGTCCCATGTTTATACGAATCGATATAGTACGCTCTATTAACTTTTTCCCTTTAATCTCGCCATTGTTAACCGATAATCAATGAAATTTCCTTAACTACTATCGACACACTTCCACATTATAGTTCACTGACTTTATTCCAGTGCAACTTTTGCCACGCGGGCGTTTCTTTGCATTAATTTTGCTGAAGCAAATCTCATCGATTTGGCGACACGACAAATGTCATAACAATTTAAAATATTGAATCTCATTCTTACGTATAAATACTTGAAGAAAGTATCGAATTTTCTGTAGTGATTTATAATCATTTTATATTCATTTTATTTAATTATTTGATCAGCTCATACACCAATTGTTGGAAATTATTACATACCAAGAAGCACATTCTAATATTTGCATTTCAATGAATAAAATAGTTCCAATGTAATAAGTGAAATCATGCATATGAACAATTTATTTCGAAAATATTTACTATCTGAATCGAGTTATGTTTGGTCTGAGAAGAAACATTTGTTTTGTAACGTTGTTAATATTCAGCAGCGTCACATGTTTTCCTCGAATAAAGCGCATATACCTTGTAAATGGACACAAAAGAAATCTGCAATATAAGTGATAAATTACAGAAACATTTATTGACGACTGTAAATGTTTTCCACGATGTTTTTACATCGTTACGACGTGTAACCTGATTAGCATTTGTCTCCCTCCTCCTCCTCCTCTTGGCTATTATCCTAAATAAAACTTATACAGACTGTAAAGAAACTTTTACTATAGAGAAACGAAAGAAGGTGAAGGATGAACAGATCATCAACAGCAATCGTGCATATCGATTGTTTTTGTTTGGTACGGTATGACATTGACGTTTGTTTAGAATTATATACAATAGAAGAAGAGACGGTTTGAAGAACAATTGCGCAAACTAATTAAGTTACAAAAAAGTAAAACCAGTAAAAATAATATTGAAATAAATAATCGTATGAGGCTCTATTAGTATTTAACTAAGAGAAATATAATATTGTAATATTTGAGAGAAGGCCAGAAATATAATAATATGGCTTTTAAGAGTCATTTGCTGGATGTATATGTGAAATATTTTAAAACTATAAATTAATATATTATATACGTACACATTACATTCAAATTAGATTCCCTTAATTGTTACAAGTCATATTGAAAGTATTTGTCTCGCAGTCAAATCAATATACATCTTTGCTATATCAAAAGTAACAAATAAAATGTATAAATTAATTAAAAATTTTAAGTTATTAGGAATATGAATTTTTTGGCGTAATACAAATTGTAAATATAAAATTAATATAAGATTAAGTGACAATTTGTTCTATAATTTAATAAGAGAGTTATAAATATTAATAATACTGTAACACTGATCCAATCTCGAAGTTCTTTTTCTCTCTCTTTCTTTCTCTTTTTGTATCTACAAAGCAATAGAACACAAACGTGTAAACTCATCGAAATTATTATCCAATATGCAAAACCATAAGTCGACTGCGCGTGGCATCGATGCTATTGTTCGAAAGCTTTACGTAAGTTCGAGTCTTACTAACTGGGTTTTAGTCATTAGCAAGCGGGATTTCCGTCTTGTTAAACGCCATCGAAGAGCTTCGCAATTGTCCCTCTAAAGGTGAACTTATTGCTCGTACATAATGCTTTTAAAAGATGCAACAAATTTTCAGAATTTGGTCAACTTCATTCGTTGACCGTTAATCTTCTTCATAAAAATTTGTTATCTATTTCAACAGAATTTAAACAGATTTCTTTTTTTTTGCAATAGTTTGTTTTACAGAGAAATAAAAGGTGATTTGCCATACAAATTCTAAAGCACAATTAGTCAAAGTTTATGATCAAAAAATTAAACTTTAATGTTGAAGAATAAACTCGACGGAATAAGTATGTTCGTTCAAGACAAACTACGCTACAAAAATAATTTTCTTTTTTATCATCATCAGCAGCTACCGTATTGTAAGAAGAAATACATTCCGAATAAACGCAAAAATTTATGTGACTCACAGTGCATTTGACATGTTCAAGACACTTTACGACCGCATCATTATAATTCTGCGCAAAGTTAGAATTTGTGAAACACTTTATTATTAAGAAATTGCATTAGTAATCATTTTTGCAATTTACGATGTATAAAATCATGACTAATCCCACTAGCTTTCTCAAAATTGTTTCTTTATGAAAACCAGACATGCATTAGTCTCACTGTGATAATTGTTTGCTTAAATTTATAAATCTAAATTATCAAGAGTAATAAGAAAATATATGTTTAAATCGTTTACTGAGTCAGTAATATAGCATATCATTAAGAGTTCAAGCTCAGAATGCAAGATCAAGATTTGACGAATTTTTTACAATTCACATTTTCACGCATATAGCCCATTTGTTATATCTCACTTTTATATCTCATCAATATATATATATATATGTATACACTATATATTTTTTGTATATATACAAGGTACTGATGTCAGATAAAAAATTCTTAGATTAAAAACACCAAAAATTGAGAACAACTTCCTGAAAAGAACGTGATCAAACTGCGGAGATGGTTATATATATTATAATATATTATATTTTTGCATATTTAACTATGTGCAAAATATAATGATCAAAAACTAAATAACTAAATTAATATTACTGAAAAAAGCAATTTCATTTATACAATTTTAAAAAATGTGCTCAAATTTATATTTTTTTATCGCATACATATTTATATTTTATCTTTCTCTCAAACTTTGCGACATGAATATGTTTTACTACAAAACCTTCAGATTTTTGCGATGTGTACGAATCTGAGAAATCCCGCTACGGCACACATAAGCACACACAAGAGAGAAAGAGAGAGAGCATGAGATGGAGGGAGAGAACGTTTAAATACGAGCAGAAGCGCGCGCGCTACTTCAGTCCGACGTTAACACTCGGAACTGATTAAGATCTCGGACAATATCGGTTGTTTCTCCACACTTTCTTTTTCTTTTATTTTTCTTCAGAGTAGATAAAACGGACAAGCAACAACCAAAATTTGCGGAAAGTGTCCGATTGAAAACCGCTTCGAAAATCACGCGGGTTTTCCGCCTAAATTAAAAAATACGGCGAAAGAAACGAGGCGAAAGTGCATGTGGTTATGTGAGGATCAAAAAAGAAGACAAACAGGGCAAAAGAAATATTAATCTAATCGCGATGACCAACAGCATGAAGCAAACGGTTATTAAGTGAGTTGTCATAATTATTATTTGTCAAAAGCAACAAAATTAGCAATCCTTTGCGGATCCAAGCAGATTTTTTCGCGCAAGTATATTTCCTTTTTATATTATTTATTTCATATTTTATATTTATTTTTTCCAACTTCAAATGCAACTGAAATTTACTGATTATACTATGATGCAATTTTCATGATAAAAGCGCTGCTTTGACATGCATCTTAATATAATAATGCCAGAGTGCAAAAAGAATCAGATAAATTTATTGTTCTTTCTAGTGACACTGAATCATTTATAAAAATGACAATGTCTCTTAAAATGAATAATATATATATATATATGTAAGTACATATATAATTTCTAGTATATATAAAATATTTTTAGATAGCACAATTTTATTTCCACAATATTAAATACAAATATCACATTTTGTTTTGTTACTTATAAATTAGAAGAAAATTACAAACTATAAGACGTTATGTGTTGAGTATATAATTTATAGTTCTAAAAACTTGCAAATTCATTGTTTTTTTGCAATATTCTATATATTTTTTTACAATCTTTATGATGTAGAATAAATACTTATCAATCTTGTAGATAAATGTATACAATTGACACTTTATTACTTAAGATGTTTTTATAAAGTTTTTATTGAAAGTTTAGATTTTTATAAATTACGCTTTTTGAAAGTGCAAAGAGAAACTCTTTATTTTTGTTTGTGTTTGAAAAGAGCGGGTCGAACAGAACCGTTTTTCTACACAGATGTCTAATTTAACTTTCAACTACAAACGAAAAACTTTTCTGTGTACGTACATTTACATAAAAAAAACACGTATCTAGCAATTATAGACTGCTGTCACGATAGTCACGTAGTTACACCGGAACACTTTGAGTTGTTTTTCCCTTTTGCCACTGCATTAGCACAGTAGTATTTTTGGATTATATAGCCATAGTTATGGACTACGCTCACAGATTATATTTATTATGCAACCTTAAAAACTTCGGTGAAATCGAGTAAGATCAGAATAGTAGAAGATTTTGCAAGAGATGAAAGTATCTTTTGATCTATTAGCCAATCGTGATTATTAGTGACTTATTAGACTATCGATTGATAGAAGTTTCATAGAGAAAGAGAAAGAAAGAGAGATTGCGTATGTGTGCTTAAGAGATTTTAAGTTTTATATTTTTAATTAGCTTTTTATCACATTGTTTTTAAAATAAAGAATTATCTGTTCTATTAATCAAATATATCGCGTTTGTAACGTCAACTGACAACACAACGTCGAATCTGGAACACGTCTATTGTAATGTTTATCGTCTACTATGACGAATCACGATATCGATATGTAGGAACAAGTCAATGGTGCCTAGTTAATGCTCTTTGATTCGGTTGTGTAAAACGTGACGGTTTAGTCAAATCTCGCGATTCATCAATATGCATGCTGGGAACAGCCGTTAATACATAAACCACGCCAAACGATGACGTTACATCGAGAGCCAGGAGAATTATGCTGTATAATAAAGAAGGAAAAAAAGAGGCAAAGTTGTATAAGAAGAAAAATAACTACGCTCCTTAAAAAAATTTACTTCAGCAGATTCCGTCGATAAATATTCATATACTTATGTATAGCGCCGTTTTTCTATAGTTCTGATATGTGTCTTTTCTGTTTGTGTAAAAGAAATCATAATATTCTTCATATTTGCTCCGATAATTCGTTTCGCGTTTAACAAAATTAAACAAATATTTTGAAACTTTAAAAACATTCTATCATAAAAAAAGAAAACTATTTAATTCGTTTTTATATTTTGTAAAAAGTGAATAACATAACGGATTATGTAGCTGCGATTTGCGCGAGAACAGACACTTTTGTGTAATTCGCGCTCAGTTGTAATCTGCATATGTTCACTGCAAAGAACATGTATTTAACTGTGACAATGGAAACATCGAAAGCAATACTTTTATACGTTATTTTGTAAGATTGATTGATACGTTAAACGTTCAAGTTTATTTTATATGTTGGAATAACTACGTAAATAGTCTGTTCACACGTTCTTGAATAACATTTAACATTGTTTAGCACTGTTTGCAGTCATCAATTAATATACATATCTATAGTATGATTCGCAATCATAAAATGTAATCGTTATTTATAGAAGTATGTTAAAATGTAGATAGACGTATATAGAAATTTTATTAATACGGAAATAATTTAGTATGCTTCTAACGGAATCGTGTAGTAAAACACACGAATGTAGTGAACTTGTATTGAATTTGCGAACTCGCTCTCGAACGGTTAGGTTCGCGTGAGGTGAAAGTCTTGCAAAGTTACGGTGCCTCAACGTTGAAAGCGTTTCATGGTGCAAGTTTACAAACGCTTGCCAGAGTTATTACAGTGTTACGACAGTCGCGCGATGCAAAATTTTGTACAACAGTAGGTCTCATTTAACTTCTACGTGGATAAGCCGGTCCGCGATAAATTAACTTCACAGAAGTAAGCGCCTGATGAGGTAAAACATTTAAATGCATGCGACTTCTTATCTGCAGTTATGTCGTTTTCTTCACTTTTAAAAACAAGCATAAATTACGCATAAGAACATAAAGTACAAAAACATATGTTGGCAAAATAATCAACTTTTGAATAATTTATCACACTTGTGTGAATTATATATGTATATAACATACACATTTCTGTTGTGTTCTCAAGAAAATTGTATTCTCTAGAATTGATTAATATTGTTCAAATATGAAGGATTCTGATGCTTCTTTTATATTTTATCGTGTCGAGCAGCGATATGACAAACAGTTGACTTTTAAACAATTTTTGCAAACACAGTCGTGTAACCTTGTGTCACTTAACGTTAGTTACACAATCGTAATGTTGTCCTCTCCTACTCTTTTCAATATCATCTTGATTTATTTCGTTCTACATTTATAATCTTTTAACCACAACAGCTTTTAAATTTTTATTATGTAAATATATTGCTAGGCAAAATTATTAGCAAAAAAATGTAATCAAAGTATAACAATCCGTTATATTTTACTGTCAGATAAGATAAGATGATACAAGAGCAACAAGAATTCTTACAGCCATGTATATCAATATCATGAGTACCCGAGAAAACAATCTGACAAGGATTGCTTGATCTTCAAATGCAGAATTTATATACAACAGCAGTTTTATTTTTTTATAATATAATTCTTTTGTAACTTCAGACGATCATTAAACTTAAGATGTATAATTACAGACGCTTATACCTACTACATAGTGCGTAATAGGGAAATATATAACATGATAAAGAAAAGTAATCAGATTGATAAAAAACTAAGAACATGACTTTTTTTCAAAACAATAGCCCGATTTATTCTTTTGTCATTGCTGTTATGTAACATTTTAAAGCAACAAACGAATTAAAAAAAAAATGTTTTTTGTCGTAGATAAAGAGTGATATGATATGTTGTATATCATATCACTCTTAAATCTGAGTAGAATTTTTGTCTCGTGATAGAACTACCTTAAATCTGCCGGTGGTAGTGTCCGATTATAGTTTTAAGATCTATTTTAATTATATGAAAAATTTTATATAAACTCTCTCTCTCTCTCTCTCTATATATATATATATATATATATATATATATATATATATAAACTTTCTAAATAAATTTTCCTCTTTTACTTTTTCACATATAAATTATATTACAAGAAGAACAATATAAGCTATATAGATTACATATATTATATCTTTTGATGTAAAATAAAAGAATTGAGAACGGATGTCTCTCGAAACGTTGAAACATCCATTGATCGCCGACGTTATAACGTTACTTAGTTTAAAAAAAAAAAGACAATCTTTAACAGACTTTCCACTTTCAAAAGTCGGGAGACGCAAAATATGCTAGACACGGTCGAATTGACATTCTATGCGTGTCCAGAAGATCGTCTGTGGCATATATGCGAATCACCAACAAGACTCGGAATTAATTTCGTGGTCTTAAAGGAGGTCTTCCTCTCCCACCTTGTGGTTTACATAAGTCGCGAATCACAAAGGTCGGCTGAAAGGCGAAAGAGTCACGCTTTATCTGCGAGCCAACTGCCATAATTTGATAATTGAGTATGAAATTGCGAGCAAAACACCCGCGTTCGCGCTTCAACTTAAATTCTCGCGACCTTCTCCGAAACATGTACGTATTTGCCTTTACGATGTCGTCGTCGTCTCGTTCCCACTCAAAGTGAGTTCTAGTCGACCTCGTCGTACAACGGGAATATCGAAAAGATTCAAAAACTCATATGTATACAACACACACTTGTTTTATGTTAAATATATACCTGCTATTCGATAAAATCAGAAACCAATTTGCTTAAATGACATAGATTTAAAATAACACGAAGATTTGAAAAACAAATTATATACGTTTCTTTATTTTTATTTTATTTTCGTAAAATTTTGTTTCCATAAAACTAATTGTAGATATTAGATTATTCACGAATAAACCAACTATCATATCTAGCTTTATCTACTACATAAATAACTGAAGATAGATTATGGTTTATCGAAGTACATATATTGCGCGTATATTGCCTCGCTGTATTTCCTGAGGCGCACAAGAAGCGAATTATGCATGGCATATCTAACAAGAGCGACGCTGGTAAGGATTGGTTATCGCATACATTATAATACTTGTCAGATCTGGCAACAATGTGTTATCGTGCAATTTATGAGAATTGGAAAATTTATCGTCAGAATTGTCCATGCATGAGGAATGGAACGATGTCGCGAGTGTGAACAGGCTATGGTAGAACGAGACATGCGACAAGTAAGATCAATGAACCAATACAGTGTGCTAAGTAAGACAGAGATAACAAGATCATACTTCTCTTAAAACATCCTTAATATGTTTGGCAAGAAACAACTATAGATGTGTTGGAAAGACGAGAAAATTGCAGAAACACATAAAGAAGATTGCGAGATAAACAATCAGAATAATTCCTGAAAATGGAATTTTGGAATCATGTTATAAATGTCTTAATAGTGTCATTTTTATACTGACATTTTGTAGACATTTTAATTTTTAATTAATCAGATTTTAAGAGCAGTCTGAGATGTTCTTTGCTAGGTGTCTTTTTTTTATAATCAAATATCACAAATCTGAACAAAAACGGTTTTAAAGTGGATAAAAATAATTTTCAATAAACATACAAAAAGAATAATACACATATCAAGAGAAAATTTAATTTAGTTTTTACTAATAATAAGAATTGTTACTGCAAAATAACGCTTTTTTGACAAAGAAATTAAAAATGGTCAAATCTTGAGATAACAGCTAAACTCCAACTAATTATTTAAAAATTTCAACTGTGTTAATCTTGCTAGTAATCCATAACTATATTTACCGTGTCTTCACTTAAAAAAAAAAAAAAGATAAAAGATCTAAAACAGCATAGTCATTGTTAATGGTATCTCGCATCCATTCAAGATGTCTCAGCGTTGTATCTCTACTAATAACGATAATATAGTGTAAGAGTACATCGGTATTTCAACGTTTGCACATACAGAGAAGAGAGTCAGAAAAATGATTACAAGGCGCCAGGTCATAGCACGTGAAGGCGATGTTGCACGCACGTGCCTTACGCTCGCTCATGTCTCTTCATTACGATGCGGCTTGCGCTTCATCTTTCTGTTTGGCCCCGTGCGACATAGATTCGCGATCGCGAGTATACTCTGTCGAAACACATAGTGCAGTCACGTGCACCGGGTGAACGGATCTGGACAACAGCGTCGCTCAATAGAAGGCGCTCCGATAATACCCATATCGCGCGAACGCAGCAACAAGAAATTTATAACGTTGATTAAGCAAACGATTGAACGATAAAAAAACTTTTGGCTGCTACAAGCAGTAACTTAAATACTTTTAAACATAAAGATGCATCAATGATGTCTCAAATGAAGTTTCTTTGTTAAGGCTTCTTTCATTGGTGTAACTTCATTTGTAAAGACATTTGTCATAAGGTCATTGCGTGTAGTAGCCAAAAGTCATTTTATGAAATAAAAGATGCAACTTTATTTTTTAAGTAGATATTTTGAGACATTATATTAGTGTAACTTCGCATATAAAGTCTGTGATTGCGACTGACTTCAGAGAATTGAATGACTATGTATCTACAATACTTTTAATCATCAGATTAAAAGATGGTGATAGTTAAAAAGCTTGATCATTTCACTTTATTTGATTTACTTCAATTGAATAGGGCAATGTTGCACAAAATTATTTACAAATTAATAAATGCCGTCGCAATTATAAAAACCTTTGCGAATCTACTTAATTGAATTATTTACCAACCTGATCTTTGTTAAAATAGCTGTAACACATATGTATCTACCAATACAGTGAAATCAAAGACACGCTTATATAAAGTGAAAAGTCAGCAGTTTTGAGACACATGTACAAACAAATGTGTGTGTGTGTGTGTGTCAAAATTTATCACGGGTTCGCTAAAAATGTGCTCGTTTGCACGTTGATTTTGTCATGTGATGTTCGCAAAATTGCACACGCTCATATGTGTCTAGAGAAATAATTATACCTTTTATCATAATATGTATTTCTCATTTTATTTGCATTATTATTTCTATTTTGACGTTATTGCGAACCATCGATTTATAAATTTGGATATAAATTTTTTCGAATTATATCAAGTGATTTATTAATAAAATTAATGTAGGAATTGTGTGTGCGAGGACTGTTAAACAAAAGAAGTAGGTATACTCTCTCTCTCTCTCTCTCTCATTGTAAGAGTAGGCTATAATATTTTGCTACGCAAAGTTAGCTATCGGTCTAATAAAGATACGATCTTACATATACGTTAATTTCGCATACCTACCAGTCGATCAATCTATCGCGATTCGACGATGAGGCTATGATTGCTTGGTTAGTGGCGCGACAAATATGATATATAGACCGCAATCTCTTGCCGATCCCCGGAGGTAAATACCGCAAAATCGGGAGATAATTATACATCCATCCTTTTCGCCGTATAGTAGATATTTTGATATGCAGTTTGTTGAAAGATCAAAGAGATATATTATGTGTTGTTATTTCAACGATAAAATCGATGATATATATGTACCTTAAATGACTAAAATAAAAATCAATTATATATAATCAAACATAACGGTCAAACAATAACATAAATTCATTACAAAGTTTTACGTTATCATGGTCAAGGCCATGCATCTATCGTGCATCTAGATGCAGACGATATGCGGCATTGACTCTGATATTACGCGGCAGAGGATGTCTCAGAGCGTGTCATTGCATCTCGATGAGGTCAATATACTCGTTGCATTACGCACGGTTATATGACCTATTACGCACTCTCCATCACTCAAGTATCTGCATTCGATGTGTTTACGCGCGCATTTGGGATCATCGCGCACATTTGTCGCAGAATAAACACACACACTCACACACACACACACATATATTATCAATTATATTTCTTACGCAAATGCTGTTAGATAAATTGTATATTGTTTAATTGTATATTGTTATCAGCAAAACGTATGTGAATTCTTGTTCAGATAAATATAAAGAATTCTTCCATTTATCTATAAGATGATTTGGATGTATTAAAAAATCAATTATATATAATCATACATAATTATAAATAATTATAAATTACAAAATAGTTCCACAATGCGCATGATAAATATTTTATACTATCTGATAAACATAAGAGAGTAGCGACTTAAAAAAATAACAAAATTCCACAGCTTAAGATACTCAAGGTAAATTGATTCTGCTAAAGTGTCATTGCATCACGAGCGATGCTCATATTATGCAAAGTATCTTATTATATTGTCATGAGGAATAAACAGGATTTACGATTATCATTATCGATTCTTTGTGTCTCACGCTTTGAAAAACTCAAAATAAAATTCACTTAAAACTTTATATACATGTGGCAATATAATAATACTTTATATATAGAGTAATTTAATAAAAAACTTTGCTCTTTGTTGAAATGTTATAATCATCTTGGAAGCAGACAAGAATTTTGCATGCACTTGATTTCAGTCTGCGTTCCTCAACGCACATTCCAACAAGGTCTTGCTAACCGTTCACGCGAGAAACTTAATACTCCGCGATCTTGTGAAATCACTGTAAAAATAAAATGCAGAAATGGCGATTGAGACGAAGATAAAATCCCGACTGCGGTTTGCCTTTCGTTCGCGCGAATTATACGCCGTGAAAGACACAGCAATCGTCAGTAGAAGAAAAGCGATTCATATATTTCGACGCCGCTAATAATATTAGGATACAATAATGCTTTAGACTAAAGTGACATTTTACCACATGATTGACAATATTACGTAAGAAATAATACGGAGAATCGGAAATCAATCAAAAATAGAAAAATAAGAAGTTTATAATAAATGTACATGTTTTTGCACATATGTTACGCGCAAAATGAATAATTAAAAAATATAAAACATTCGCTAATTGTTATGATATATATGTACATATATAATGTAAGCGACGATAGTTTACATAATCAATTTGCACGCAAACGTAACTTTGATTTGCACATGGCATTATAACGAATAGTATTTGATAACATCACTTATGCACAAAATATGCATAAATGACTATCGAGCTTTCATACAAGATTAAACTCAGAAATTCCGTGCAGACGTTATTATCATATAATTAAAGATGTAACAATTATGTGAAAAATTCTTACAGCTGAAGAAAGAGTTTGTATTATATAAAGCATATGATAAATAATTACTTCAATAAATATATTAACTAGTTAAGTAATCAGAGAGTCTTGTGTGTGTGTACAAATGCAGAAAAAATTAGATAATTACATGAATGCTCTTAAATCCAGAGAGTATTATCTAACTCCATAAAATATAAGCAATATATAGTCTTATCTTTACATAAAACAATTATATATTTAAAAATATCGATACCGTGTACACATGTATAAAAAATTATAATTTTTAAACCAAAGAGAGAAAAAGTAAATATTTTAAAACTGTTCTAGTCAACAACGTTTTTAAGCAACTTTACAATTTTGAATATGCTACTTTTTTACGATTTTTTTTGCAGAAATCCGACATGGTGGAAGAGACGATCCGGTTTGGAACGCGGGTTAACGGTAATAGCGGTTTCCGGATTTCTCGTGTGTGTCGCTTTGGCTGTAGCACTCGGAGTTTTAGCAGGCAAAACGACATGCAACACTACATTGAGCACAAGTAAGAGCATTCACTTTTATATAACGACCTACAATGCAACACGAGAGTCGCACGTGCATGCGCGTTTTTTTATAAATGCATACAATATTGTTTGAAAAAGCAAAACTCTTTTTTTATGTGATGCGTTAAAATTCAGATAAAATATTTGGAAGATTTTTTATTCCATAATTGAATCAGAAATATTAAATGTTAATTTTGTTACACGCCTCTATCTGGAAATGATACAGCAAAATACCTAGAGTAACGAGTCATGAGAGACAGAACACGCATTACCTATATGTACATAAATATCTTTCTACAAACAGAGATCGTTATGTAAGTGATTGTATTCTTATCACAAGCATAATATAAATGATGTTATATTCTCTCATGATTTATCTCTCGTAGAATAAAACTGTAATTATGATACATATTAAGAGAAGATTAGAGCATATACACGAATGTTGCGCCTATTATTTTTATTTACGAAGACTTATTGCTGTGAGACATTTCTGCCATGTACAGGATCGGATTTGATTGTAAATTGAAATGAAACAAAAATCTTTTTAGATTTGCTTTTTAACATTATATACTTACGTTTGTTCGATAAAAAATTTTGTGAGAAACAAAAAACCCAACTTTTAGTTAAATAACAAAATAATAACTTTTTTTAAAAACATAAGAAAAAAAATACCTTACTATAGTTTTACATATAGAAAATGAATGAAACGGAAAAATGATACTTAAATTACACGAATTTAAAATCATTATTTGATTTAATTGCCGTTGTCAATATATCGTCGAAACTGTTTTGTTAGTATGTGCGTCGCGTTTTTCTTTGCGAATATAATGCAGGAAAGAAAAATGCTCGATAAAATGCAGGAAATATGTGCATTTTAACGGCCCATGCCCAAGTGGTGATTACGTTTACGATCGAAAACCGTTCAGTAACGGTATGTGTCCGCATTACAAAATCTTTTAGTCGTACAAAAGTAAGACGCAAAATCGCCATCGTCGTAAGATTATACGTCTCTGTGTAGATACCTTACATATGTATGTGCGTCTTATATCAAAGTGCTTCGCAAGTGCTGCTTAAACGTGAAAAAGAGAGTAAAATGTTCACACGCACACATTATCTTTAATATGCATGGAGATAGTTTGTATTTACATAGCTTTTTTCTAAAAACAAAGTAAAGCCGGGCCATGTGATGCGTAATTCGGCATGACGTCATCGAAAGGGCGACTCTGACGCATGTTGATATTTCTAGTGAGCAAATGTTGTTTAGAGTGTTAGTTACTCACCCATGATGTGTAGTGTTTACACCAGTGGTTACACACGCGTGATCGCGCCCAGTTTGCAATAAGCACATCCCGATCGCCAATATTTTGATCGCGTGTGATGTGGCATCGCGAAAACATCGATAATGATCGCGCGTTTGGATATTTTCGGCGAGTATTTTAAAAAGCTGGCGCGCAAACACAAAACTTAGTCAGAGCGCGATTCGCGAGACATAGGATGTTATGTCTTTTTTTACGTGGAACACGTACGTAATTACGCAATCCAAAGTAATAATAGGTAAGGTATAATAATAGGGTAAAGTATAGCACACGCAATGTTTACGCGAACGCATTTGAACTGAAAGAGAGCCACGTTATAGATCGCGATTGTTCGAAATGTCTGTGACTTTCTTTAATATAATTTGGCTCCAGCTGCTCTTGCAGGCGGAAACCTATATAGCGTGTGTGCAATTACAAGTTTTTAACGCAGCTTGTGTAAGTCAACGCTTTGCATCCATTAATCTGTTGCTGTTACACATTTTTTTTTCGCACCTGCAACTGCATCCGCACGAGAATAGAGCCTGTTAACGCAGAGATGCTACCGTTCACAGCCGAAGGGTTGAACGGCTCGGAGCAGAAAATTCCCGTCGCAAAAGAGTCTTCAGAGTGCAACAACATATGTTTAACATCCGGATGCATTCACACAGGTAAAACATACATGACAAAACTTAAATCTTTTATTCGCACATAGATATAATTTTTTTCTTCGATAAAACTTAAAAAACTTTTTTGTACTGCAGTACTATAATTAAAAAGACACTATTAAACAAACTGACGTAATTTAATAAACATTAATTTCTCTTAAAAATTAATGCAAGACTGAGTTTTCACTTGTTAAAAATCTTTTTGTTTGAACTTTTTCAAGGCCCTAAAAAGAATTCTATTAAAATTGTTAGAAGCTTAAATATAAACAAATTTTTACTCAGCCTATTGGAGATGTGTCCTTATTGAATTAATTAATTTGATGTGTAATTGTGCGCGCAATTTATTGCGCAGCTTCGAAGGTACTAAAAACCATGAACCGCAACGTGGAGCCTTGTGATGACTTTTACAAATTCGCTTGCGGCGGTTTCCTCGACACCACTATCATTCCCGATGACAAAACCAGCGTGAATACGTTCTCTATTATTGTCGACGCACTCTTGGAACAATTGCGGATCAGCATCGAGGAAGAAAGTCCTCCAAACGAGCCAAGGCCGTTCAAGCTTGCCAAAGACTTCTACAAGGCTTGCATGAATACAAGTAAGTAGTGATATCTCATATAAACGACCAGAATTGAAGAGAACGCGAGACTTGTTTCTGAATTAAATAAAAACATAACAAATTAAATTCATGTGATTTCGCTGCTTTTGTTTTCTAGCTGCTATCGAAAAGCGGGGTCTGCAACCACTACTAGATAATCTTAGGAAATCCGGCGGCTGGCCAGTTCTGGACGGCGAGAAATGGAACGAAGGTGACTTTACTTGGAAAGATTCTGTTTACAGATTCCGCAGACTGGGCTACTCAGTCGATTACTTTATCGATTTTGGAGTCAGTGTCGATTTGAAGAACAACTCGAGGCGCTTGATCGACGTAAGCATTCAATATCTGTGTTAGTATAATGAATTTAATAATAAATTATTTAATTGTTCAATACTTTACTCGCTTTGTGCTTTCCACCTGTTTGTTTATTGAAATTTGTGTTGCAGGTTTATTTTCATTTTTTCATTTGTTATTATGGTTTTTGTTCCAAGTCAAATAAAAATTTAATTAACAAACAGGTTTATCTCAACAAATTCATGCTAAAAAGTAAATATTTACAGCTCGATCAAGCATCTCTCGGTCTCTCGCGCGAATATCTATCTAAAGGCTTTGACGATGAAATCGTTCAGGCATATTACGCTTATATGGTGGACATCGCTATAATTCTCGGAGCCGATCCTGACCGAGCCCGTAAAGAATTGCGGGAATCACTCGAATTTGAAATTAAGCTCGCAAACGTAAATCCTTTTTCTTTTATTATTAAATAAAACTAATTTAATTTATAAAAACTAAAAGATATTAACTCAAAAATATGAAATTTAATATTGTCTCGTGTAATTGTGTACTAATCAATATAAAAAAATTAATTGAATTTGAAGTTAGTGCAATGAGTAAATTAATACATAAATAACTAATTAATTAATTAATTAATTAATTAATTAATAATACATAGATCATGTTTGATTAATCCGTTAAATAAACGAATATACACAGATCTCTCTGCCCAACGAGAAACGACGCAACGTAACTCTTCTTTACAATCCTATGACCGTGAACGAGCTATCTACGACTTACTCTAGCATACCGTGGTCGGAATACTTCAATACCATTCTTGCGCCGCACGCACAGCTTGGTCAAGACGAGATAGTTATCGTAAACGTGCCTAGCTACCTAAAGGACTTCGAAAAATTGATCAGCAGCACGCCCAAAAGAGTACAGGCGAATTATGTGCTAGGCAGGACGGCTGCTGCGTCAGTTAGCTATCTCACTGACGATATTCGGAAGAGACAGCTCAAGTACATGGCGGTAATAAATGGTAAAATGGAAAGAGAACCGAGATGGAAGGAATGCGTGGATATTGTTTCCAGTAGCTTGGCAATCAGCGTCGGTTCGATGTACGTAAGGAAGTATTTCAAGGAGGACGCGAAGAAGACCGCGCTGGAAATGGTTGGCGACATAAAAGAAGAGTTCATAAAGATACTAAAAAAGGTGAATAAAAAAGATGCCAGTCTCTCAAGTCAAAAATGCGAAAAGTACGAGAGATCGAAATCTTAGGACTGTGACGCTTTTGATCTTTTTTTTTTTTTTTTTTTTTTTTATCTAGAAATTGAAATGATCTCTCGAAATGAAATGTTGTGTGCGCCTCTCATATTTTTTAATTAAGGTTCAAAAACAAAAATCTTAAAAACATGTTTACTTATCAGTAAGATCTCAATAAAATCTCGACAATGAAACTTTTGTTACTTGTATTTTTTTATTGAGAAAAAACTACAAAAATACAATATCTAATCTGTTTTTAAATACATACAATCTAGTAGTCTCGTGTCAGTTTTTGATGGGACGCGCATTTTTCCATTTTTAGGTGGAATGGATGGATGATAAGACTAGAGCGAATGCTTTAGAAAAAGCAGCAGATATGACGTCGCATATTGCGTATCCAGACGAGCTTCTTGACGACAAAAAGCTTGACGAATTTTATGAGCATCTTGAATTGAGTTCGGATGACTATTTAGGAAGTGTCCTGAACTTGACTATCTTCGGAATGAACTTCTCGTTCAGCAGACTGAGAAAACCGGTGAACAAAACCGAGTGGATAACTCACGGCCGGCCGGCCGTCGTTAATGCATTTTATTCATCAATCGAGAACAGTATTCGTAAGTATTTAAATAATTCTTTACATAATTCAAACAAATATCAAATTGCATGTAATTAAATTTAGAAAAAGAAAAAACATTCCTCTTTTATAACAACAAATTTTAGAAAATGTTGTTTATAAGTGAAAAAAGTTAGTGAGCAAATCATTGATAAATAAAATAAAGCATTTTTGCAAATACAAGATTATGATTATGTTTTATTCACAAAGAAAAACAAATGTTACAAAATTGCGTACGCATTAATTGGCCAGTCAATATTTGCAGTATCTAATATTGCCTACATGGAAAGTCAAATTTATTGTTTTGCTTTTTTGCGATTTTTTGCACGTAGAATTCCCCGCGGGTATCTTGCAAGGAACATTCTTCAGCAACGACCGACCACGTTATATGAACTACGGCGCTATCGGTCTCGTCATTGGCCACGAGATTACTCACGGCTTCGATGACCAAGGCAGGCAGTTCAATAAGGAAGGTAATCTAGTCGACTGGTGGGAACCAGAAACAAAGGAGCAGTATCTTAAGAGGGCCGAATGCATAATTTACCAATATGGAAACTATACCGTTGAAGATGTTGGGATGAACGTAAGGCAAATCTTACGTGTATATTTATTTATTTATTTCGTTTTATACATCACACACAGCGAGTTTTATTACAGAAAAGCTCTGCTAATGTTTCTTTACTTTTAACGTAATAATTCTAATTATAAAGAAACTTAATTGCATTGAACGAGCTACTTTGCAATCTATTGACTTTATCTTTCTAATGGCATTCTTTAACGACTGTAACAGATACACGTAAAATAATATCTTTTCATCAATCTACTAGTTTTTCTCTTATCTGCTACATAAAAGTATATTATCGTTGCAAAAGAATATACTTTTGTTGCATGTCGCGAACAAATATATCGTTCCAAATTTGACTATATATATGTGGGCCTGTAACTTCTATATTTATATTACTTCTGTAATAGTATAAATTTTGAAAAATTGTTTTACAAACATATTCTAGTTATTTTAACAAGTTAAAAAAATGTAAAACTTTTTTGATTTTTCTATTACCTAACCCGCCAGATTAAAATTCTTTTAAATAAAACATGACGAGTATAAATGCGATTTAAAAATAAAAACCTTTTACTGTATAATATATTACAGGAACAATTGAAAACTTAGAGTGGATACATTTTTTATCATAATCCCCATCGATTTATATCTTTTACAGTTAAACGGCATAAATACTCAAGGTGAGAATATTGCTGACAACGGAGGCGTAAAAGAAGCCTATTACGCGTACAAGGAATGGGTCAAACGAAACCAACCGGAACAGAGATTGCCGGGTCTGCTGTATAGTCCGGAGCAGATGTTCTGGATAAGCGCTGCCAACACTTGGTGCACCAAGTATCGGCCGGAAGTAATGAAGCTGCGCATCACAACGGGATTCCACAGCCCGGGCGAATTCCGTGTCCGAGGACCGTTCTCGAATATGGAGGAATTTTCGCGCGACTTTAATTGCCCGGTCGGATCTAAGATGAATCCCGAGAAGAAATGTGCCGTTTGGTAAACAAATGTCGGCGAACGACATCCACTGTTCGGTCACTTTTTAATCTCAGAAGAGTTACGGTTTCCTTCATCTTTGTCGAAACCACTGTGGTTTAAAAAAAATAACATACGCGTTCGGAGTGTTTGTCGCGATCTTTCTTGTTTTTTATGAACGACAAAAGAACAACGATTATTATAATTCTCAAATATAAAACTGTTTTTTTGTTATTTTATATTGTTAAAAATAAATTACATTTTTTATTTTTTTCTGCGAGATTTTCGCAGTTACGAATGTTTTTTAGGACTAAATTTCACAAGAAGGAGTACTTGACCTAACGTCTGCAGGATATAGAAGAAACCAATTTTTTTTTGTTTCATAATTTTGCGCCCACAGATACAAACAATGACATTGTCGCAGTAAAGAGAATTTTATCATCAATACTTGTGATGGAAAGCAAGAACTGAAATTTCGTAATACATAATACAAGAGATGCAAAAACTCCAAGTAGGAAATTCTCTAATGTAGAAATTCATAGAGATCGTTTGATCTACGTATATACATATATATATTTGTATGTATATATTTGTATATTTGTATGGTAGGTATGTATTGTGTTCTTAGTGAATACTTTTTATAAGAAGATATATATACATACACACATATATATACATATATATGCATACATATACAAATACACACACACACACACACATCTATATATGTATATGTACGCTTTATGATATATATATATCGTAGAGCGCACATATAAATAGAAAAAAATTAAAATAACAAAACAGAGATTTAAAACTTAATTAGTTTTACTTATATAAAGTTAACTGTTTAAACATTTTTTGATGTAGTAGGCATAGAGTGTGATTTCTGTGCCAATAACAATGTCAAATTATTCCACAACGGAGTAATTAGCAGCAGTAAGCTGAATTATCTATTATGCTTCATCTAGTTTCTTAGAGATAAGAAACTATATAATATTATAGATCTTATATTATCGTTGATAGATTACGATAAAGAAATATCAGTAGCTTTATTAAGAGAATCTGCTTTTTACCATTTTTTATTATTGACAACTGTGTTAAGTATTGCTTCTTGAGCCTAACAAATATTTTATTAATATAATATAAATAAAATTTGAAGAATCAATAGCAACAAAAAAACATTTATATCTTTTTGACAAAAAATTGTAAGTTTTTCATGTTGAGTATTATTCTGCAGTATTATTGAATGTTAGCAATTATATAAAAATAGAAAAATTGCATATTATATATATGTGTACACACACACACACACACACACACACACACACACACACACACACACACACCATATAATTGCACTGAAGTGTTACTTTTAATTAAATTACACTTTAAAAGAATAAACATTTTATGTTGTTGTCTTTTTTAAATTCAATGAAACTTTTATAAAATTACAATGTTAAATACCACGACACACATTCACGTGAACGCATGAATGTGTGTTTTCAATAATCTATTATTAAATATTAACATAAATACGTACTATCAAATCTCGATTTTCTACAATCTACGTTTTGTATAGTGGTATATTATTGCAATGAGCAATTTTGTTATTTGTTTCGATTTAATCGAGCGTTCTCGAGTAAGATTATTAATCGTAGAGTTGCCGTGTCAAAGTACTTACTGTAAGTGTTAATCGTAGCTATACAACTGCGACCGAGATTCAAGCGCTTTCTTTGGTATATTACTCCTTTTGCTTTTCGCACATTAGTTCTCGTGCATATACGCTCGTTGCGTACCGTATTTTTTCACGTTCCTTTTCTAGTAGCATTTTGCAACTCTTTATATTTATTAATTACTTGTTTACCGAATATTGTACCTTAAGTGAGAGAAAGACGTAAGAGGCGTATTTGTTAAGATATTTGTTGAATGTAAAAATTTAATACAAGAAAATCTCACATGTAGATGTTGAACTGCCTTTTATGCATTTCCCAGAAAAATATTCCATTTGAATCGACGCGAGCTTTCAAAAATTTAAATATATGTATATTACCAACATACGCGCGCGCGCGCGTTAAGGAAGATCTAGCAGATCAAGAATTGACGACACGTTATTTTACATTCTAGATGCGCACTTTTGCAAAATAATTTGATATTTTGTCGAAAATACAGAAGAAAAAAAGACAGAATCATACCACTTTGTATCGCGCGCTCTGAAGACATAATGGCCGCTCATACAATCGCCTAAATCAATCGCTGCAATAAGAAATTTTTGTTTTGCGCACATCGAAAAAAAATTTGTTACAACATTAGTAAACCGGGTAAATATATATAACATTTATATTTAACAAAGTCGTAATTAAACTTTGTAGTTGATGATATAATATATAATTATGCGTAAATCTCGAACACAAAAAAGTGCAAAAGACAATAATTAAAGGTATAATTGCAAGTTATATATATTTGATAAAGATTATGCGCAATATATAAGTAGTTCAAAGAAATAGATTTAAGTTTGAAACACGAAATAATAATATTTTAAAGAAAAAATAGCGTAAAAAATAAAAAAAGTGCGTAAAAAAAACATATATTCATGTATGCTACATCCTGAGTTTGCGACATCTGTATTGTCGGCGCAGTATACTTACGGCTCATGCGCGAGTCCGATTGCAACTGTCATACCGTCATGATTGTATCGTCAGTGACAATCGTGCGGAGCAGTGTGGAGTGACTTGGATAATCGTTCGAGGTTTACGTGTTGATTGATCAAAAAAGCAAACTGCACGAGTAATGGATAAGCCACCGTACAAATTGAGCAGCGTGCTACTCGGGCACACAGAAGATGTGAGAGCAGTGGCGTCTTTCGCCGACGGCACCGTCGTGTCTGCCTCTCGGGACAAGACAGCGCGTGTATGGAAGCCGACCGGGTTCGTATGATAATACACAATGTGTGTTATTATTTCTACATGAAAGATTCCGCAGTGTTTATATTTTTATTGTGTGCGTTATATCTTCTTTCCTTTTCTTTTTTTTTTATTTCACGTAACTATTCCGCTAATTTTTTTGAGTCCGTGTATCTTGCGTGTTTTTTGAGGTTATGTACTTGTGTGTGTGTGTGTGTGTGTGCTGCGTTTCTCTAATATAGAATATATGAGATGCTGTATAAACACATCTAAATTTTTTTGCAGAAAAGCAAACAAGTACGAACAGAGTGCAATATTAGTAGGCCATACTAATTTTGTTAGTTCGGTCTGTGTTTTAAATCCATCAAAGAAGAATCCTAAAGGTTACATTATTACTGGAAGTAACGACAATACCATATGTGTTTACACAGCGGATGAAACAGAACCAATACACAGAATAACCAGGCATCAAAATGCTGTGTGTCATTTAAGAGCTGGAAAACAGGAAGATACATTTCTTTCAAGTTCATGGGATCTTACTGCCAAGTTGTGGGATATAAATGATTTGAGTAAACCACAAGTGAATCTTGTGGGTCATACTGCTGCAGTATGGTGTATAGCAGATTTATTGAATGGTAGTATAGTGACTGGTTCAGCCGACAAGTTAGTAATTATTTGGACAAGAAATGGTTCTGTACAACACAAACTGACAGGACATACAGACTGTGTTCGCGACATAGTTGATATTAAAGAGGATGAGTTTCTGACTTGCGCAAACGACGCTACTATAAGACACTGGAACGCCAAACTTGGAACCTGTTTAGGCACTTATTGTGGTCATGAGAATTATATCTATAGCATAAGTGCTGTACCAAATGGTACGTATGTCTATTCATCCGGAGAGGATAGAACCGTTAGAATATGGTACAATGCGGAACTGAGTCAGACCATTGTTTTACCAACGCAATCCATATGGTGCATCGACCTATTTCCAAATGGAGACATAGTTGTTGGAAGCTCAGATGGAGTTGTCAGAATATTTTCCTGCAATCCCGAACGATACGCGAATGCAGAGATGCTGCAGGCATTTGAGAAGGAAGTGGCAAGTACTACTCTGAATGCTCAACAGGTGATTGGAGATATTAACATAAAAGAGTGAGTGCTACTTGCCTTCTCAAAATAAAACGTTTTCATGTTTACAAGAAGAGAGTTAATAAGTGATTTTTAATTTTAATAATTGTTTTAATTGTATATAGTTTACCAGATTCAAGAGTTCTTCTACAACCTGGCCAGAGAGATGGACAAACAAAAATCGTAAATGAAGGGGATGCAGTGAGAGCATACAGTTGGTCACAGAACGAGCAACGATGGATAAAGATCGGCGATGTGATGGGAGCATCTGGTGGTACCGCCGCTACTTCCGGAAAGCAACTGTACAATGGCATAGAATATGATTATGTTTTTTCGGTCGACATACAAGATGGTGTGCCACCTTTGAAACTTCCATATAATAAAGGTCAAGATCCCTGGCACGTTGCACAGAAGTTTCTTCATGACAATAATCTCAGCCAGTTATTTTTAGATCAAGTAAGAAGTTTAGAAATATTTTATTTAAAAAAAACTTATATCTATATATCAGTTATTTAGTGTTTTTATTTTTAAAACATAATAGCAAACTTTTGAAGTTTTAGAAAAAAATATAAATTATTCATGTTTGTTTTAGGTTGCAAATTTTATAGTAAAGAATTCTGAGCCAGCACCAGTTGTGAGTACTGGATCTCAATATGTAGATCCTTTTACAGGCGGAAGTAGATATGTTCCTGGATCAGGAACGTCGTCCAGTACGCTCGATGTTACTGTACAACCATCGTTTAGCTCTTCCAATGTATCTTCATCTCCCTCCTATATACCTCAATTGAAATATTTAAAATTGGAACAGGCAAATTGGTCTGCTATTTTCGGTAATAATCACATTTAAAGATTGAACTGAATGCAATATTGCGTGTGTATGTGTGTACACACAAACATAATATATACACATATATATATATACATATATATATATATATATAT